CGTGATGCTGGTTGTCATGGTAACATCTACACTAAGTGGTTCTCTACGCATGCGCGTCATTTTGGATCTGATCACTTGTAGTGAGCATGTAAACGAGATTTTCATCAGAGTGTTGAGTAGAGTGAGAATAAACACCTCAGTCTGAATCTGTAATCTGAATGTATTCAGTCGGATTGGCGAATGTCTTTGCACCAGTACAGAATAAAAGTCCTCTGTAGGGCAGGTTTAGAATGCTTGCTGGTGTTTCTGAACATATACTCATATTTCTAAGATCACGCTTAAGAAGAATTTTTACATTTTATTGACTAATTCCTACGGAAGTCCGGAGAGGCCATGAGCTGTTGCTATATTTTTCTGGATTGTTATCTTGAGATAACAAGTTAATGATCTTGTGATCTCAAGATAACAAAGTTCAAAGATTATGAACTCATTATCTCAAAACAACAACTTTATCTCAATCCCACAAGATAAGAATATGATTATGATTATGTATAGATCCATAGCAAGTGAAGAATCTTCTTAGTATGTAAAACCGTGTTTTGTGTGGTTTAATGTCTCTTCGTTATGATGGTCCAAAAAACCTTTGGCTGGATAAAGTAACTAAAAGCTCGGAGAACCGTGTCTTGGTATTATATAGAACCCTTTTCTGCTGTGTGATTGGTTGATTCTTGTACTCTGAAGATGAGAACGCTGAGCGTGTTGTGTTCTTGCGTGTCTAGATCCTGGAGCGCTCGGTGAAGCTGCTGTTTGAGTCTCGGGACATCAGCCTGGTGAAGCAGTACGTGCAGCGGCAGTGCGTGAAGGTTCTGGAGGCTAAAGCGAGTCTGCAGGATCTGACCTTCGCCAAAGAATACAGAGGCAGCGCCTCCTACAGGCCGGGAGCCTGCATACCAGCACTGGAGCTGACCAGGTACTCGCTGACCACAGTTAGTAAAGAGTTAGTTCAGCAAAAAATCTGATTCAGAGGGAATGGAAGCTTGTAACACATCAGCTAATGTGGTGCTATTCGTGATTAGATTTTCCCCGTCCACCCTTTTAGCATCAACTGACTTAATGAAAATCACACGTTAAATAATATATGACTGAGTAATTCAACATCTTTTGGTTATGAACTGTTTCACCGCCTGTTCTAAAACACACCCACGAGCTCCTGCTGGTGTGGGTTCTCTTTAAATGACCGTGTGTAGTTCCAGCTAAGTTTGATATTCCAGTATCCTGAAGAGTTCATGAACGGATATCTGTTTATCTGTGAGGAAGGAAGAAAAAGACAGAAAAAAGTATTTTAATTTAGAGGTGTTTTTTGTTGTTGTTTTGGGGTTTTTTTAGGTGAAAACACAGGTGTTGCACAGAAAATTAGCATCTCTCAGAGGAACGCATTTCTAAACATTTTTATTATTTAAAAAAAAATAGCCGAGGTAAATTGTTAGCTAGCCGGTAACACTGGACACTGATGGAAACTCGTCTTCCACAGGTGTTTTCTCCTCCTCGGTGGACGATTTGCCACCGTCTTAGTCTATCTGGTCTGTTTATCAGATATATTTGAATTGTTCCGAACGTCAGCCTAGTTAGCGATAAAAGCTTTACCGACTTTGCCTTCTTAGTTACGCCCTTAAATGCGTGTTCAGGCACTAAACATACAAACTAACAAATACAAGCAAAACGTTTTACAGTGCTGATAGAACATAAAGTCAGTGTTTCACTGAATTGTCAGTCTGTGATTTTCCTGTGATGAAAAGCAGTGAATAGTAATTTCACGGTTCAGTTAGTGACACCTCACCTTGAGTACTCGAGGAACCGTGCACATCCCTAATACTGATTGTTGGCCCCGCCCATTACCTCCCCCGTCCATGTAGCACTGACTCCTTTAATCACACATTAAATAATGTAGCTATAATAACTGTTTCTCCTCTGGTGTTTGAAGCTGCAGACGTGCACTGTGAGCTCCTGCTGGTGTGGGTTCAGCACTGTTTCTCCTCTTTAAACCACCGTGTGGGTTTCAGCAGCTGCTACTGTACACAGACGAGTGTGTAGGAAGGAGTGTGTGTGTGTGTGTGTGTGTGTGTGTGTGTGTGTGTGCTTCTCCACTGTGCATACTGTACCTGATTCTGTTGCCTAGCAACACTGTAGTTAATGCATGCAGAAATTTCCCACAGTGCCGCTGAAACAGCAGTGAGAGTGCAGAGACAGTCCTGCTGTCAGACCTGCTCTGTTTAAATATCAGCAGTCACTGTTCTGAGTGACCGTCATCTTCATCTTCATCATCATCATCGTCCTCTGCTGAAGCTGTATCTCTCTCTCTCTGAGCTCGCTCGCCCACTCTGTGAGGATGAACGTCAGACGTCACCGTCGGGAACATCGATCTTTATTTTTACTGATGTTTGTTGTTGGGATGATTTACTTTATCATTAATATCTGTGTTCATTTCTCTCCTCTCTCTCTCTGTCTTGTCCTTTTCTTCCTATCTCTCTCACTCATTTCTCTTTTCTTTTTCTTCGTCTCTCTTGCACGCTTCTCTTTCCATCATTGTTTTTTCTCTCTGTTCCCTTCCTTCTTTCTCTTTTGTTCTCTTCCAAACTCTTTTTATCTTTCCTTCTCTTTCTTCCTCTCTTCCCCCTTATGTTTTTCTTTTTCTTTTCTCTCTCCTTTCAATTCCTTCATTCCTTTTTTCTTTCTTTCACACTTGTTTCACTCTTCCTGTCTTGCTCCCACCTTCCTCCTCTCCTACTCTCTCTCTTTCTCTCTCTCTCTCTCTCTTTCTATCTCTCTCTCTCTCTCTCTTTCTTTCTTTCTTTCTTTCTTTCTTTCTTTCTTTCTATCTCTCTCTCTCTCTCTCTTTCTATCTATCTCTCTCTCTCTCTCTCTCTTTCTTTCTTTCTTTCTTTCTCTCTCTCTCTCTCTCTCTCTCTCTCTCTCTCTCTCTCTCAGGAGGATGATGTCGTATGATCGGCGTTTGGAGCCTCGTGTTGGAGAACGTGTTCCGTACGTGATAGTCTACGGTACTCCGGGGGTTCCTCTGATCCAGCTGGTGCGGCGCCCCCTGGAGGTCCTGCAGGACCCCAACCTGCGGCTGAACGCCACCTATTACATCACCAAACAGATCCTGCCCCCCCTCGCCCGCATATTCAACCTGATCGGGGTGGACGTGTTCAGCTGGTACCAGGAGCTGCCGCGGGTGAGGAAGCCTCGCCTCGCCTCGCCTCGCCTCGCTGTACTAGCCTTTAACCCAGACTTACACCAAGAGCCTCTCTGTGTGAGATATGTTGAGCTGCTAGTGAGCAATGAGGGGTGAAAGGGGAGGGGTGAGACCCCCTGCTGTGAAAAACTATTCACACCTCTCCACAAAGATGGCCATGCTGAGATAAAACTGACAACTTCAGACTTTTACACATCAAACAGTCAACAACTGACACAACAAACAGCATTTAAACACAGTAACAGCACTTCTAGGAGCGTTGACTCTCATTCTCCCAGTCCAGATCCAGTTCATACATAATACACACTTCCATCTTAATACGGTCCGTTAACATTATTGAAGACCTGAAATGCGTCACAGGGCTGAGATTCATCGTTTATATCGAAATCACAACTTTAAAGCGTGCAGATCTTCAAATAGCAGGAAGAACCATTTCACCATGCAAGGAACCATGATTCTGTACAGGGTTGCACAAGGTTCTTTGACTGTTCATGGTTCTATATAGAACCCTTTTCTTTACTAAAGAACCCTGTTTTTAAGTGTAAATGTTAATACGTTGCAAGGTTTAAGTAGATGAATGTAACCTGATCACGTGGAGCTTTATCAACTGCTTTTAGATGAATTCAGTGAATCAGAAGCAGCCAAACATCCGTGTGCTGTGACATCACAACCACAGCTAACCGGCAGGCTGGTGCTCTGTGTTCGGCTTTCAGGCCTCGAGACAAAAAAAGGATTCTCTGCTCTTCTTAGCCAAAGAAAGGGCCATCCGTTTAAAACACTCACAGTTTAAACTGTAGCCGCAGTACTGGTCAGAAAGATCACAATTAGATATTTTGCCGAAATTGTTCAGCCCTAATCACTGAGGGTCCGAAACAGCCCACTTACACTGAGGGTCCGAAACAGACAGGAAGTGTATTTTATATCTGCTGTGAAAAAGGGGCTGAATGCTGTACTGAGATTTGAACTCCTGAACTGAAAATCAGTGTCCTGCTTAAATAAGGTGGCTGTAATAAAGAGCTGACTGGCTGACCACAGAGCTGCTCTCGGTGCACCAGTGTTTCTGACAAAGTGACCAGTTAGTGTGGACACACGGTTGGTGGACAAAAACATGTTTGCTTCTCACACTGAGAACACAGTGCGCTGGTGCCATCTGGTGGCTGCTGTTGAGAAAGACAGCTGTGCCCTTTTTGTGGTTACTACTTTATTTATATACAGCTGTGTTTGTCAGTGCATGCCCCCCCCGGCCACACACACGAAAACATAAATTTATTTATTAATTTCTTTCTTGGTTCTTCTGTAGGTCCAGAAGTCCTCCTGTCCCGTGGGGGGCGCTGCCGGAGAGGAGGTGGGACGGAAAGGCACCATCTCTCAGTACTTCACCACGCTGCACTGCCCGGTGTGTGATGAGCTCACTCAGCTGGGGGTGTGCGAGCGGTGTCGGGCGGAACCTCAGCGCGTGGCCATCACGCTGCAGCAGAACCTCAGACTGTGGGAGAGCCAGCAGGACCAGCTGCTGAAGGTCAGAGGTCACACAGTTAGATCAGGCCTCAGGCGTTAACAGAGTGAATAATCGTTAAATGTGTTTTCCGTCTTGTTGGAGTCGTTTGATTGGCTAGTTGAGCCGTAGCTAAATGTCCTCTAAGGCCAGACAGACACTGTGTGATGTTAGAGATCTTGTTCTTTGGTGACTCTCACTGTCCGTTTGAATAGACCATCGTGTTCAGACAAAGCTACGATTTATAAACTCACACTGTACGAAACGCTCCGTCTGACTGACCTGCTACGGGAAACGCAGCCTCTACAGACGCTCTGACTACAGACCGTTATCAATAAAGCTGATTCACTCAGAATAACCGAGTACTGAGCAAACACACTGAGACACTGAGCAGCGCTGCTAACACTGAGCGCTGAAGATAAAGCAGGCGCTGATGTTCACGGTAGGACAGTTCGGTCTCTCTGCAGCCTGATTTACAGAAACATCACCGTATTAATGTTTATATCTCGATATTCTACTCAGTCAATCAGAGTAAAGTCTCATATACTGACTTTAGTAGGAAACGTCGACTTTTTCTCCTCCACCCATGTTGGGGAAGTGATTGTGATTGTGTGTTTATAAACAGTCTATAATCTCTCAGTGTATCCTGGTGGGAATCTGCCAAGGCGGAATGTTTATAGCGAGCGACGGCTTTGTGTCCGACTGTGACGGAGTCAGTAACTCTTCTCTGTGTGATCAGATCCTCCTCCACTGTGTCTGTTTATTAGAGCAGCAGCTACACTCGCCTTACGGCACACGGTATCAGCTGGTATCACAATGTTGGTATCTGTGAATTTTTATGAGGTTCAGTAAATGAGCGCAGTATCAGGCCGATACCCGATACCAGCATCAGTATCAGTGCATCCCTACTTATTATTAGTGTTCTGTAAGGATAATAATGAATCTCTAATAGTAAAAATATACATGCTAAATCTCTCTCTCTCTCTCTCTCTCTCTCTCTCTCTCTCTCTCTCTCTCTCTCTCTCTCTCCCCTCCCTCCCTGCAGATCTGTCGGGCGTGCAGTGGCAGTGTAGAACGTCAGGTTCCGTGTGTTTCTCTAGACTGTCCGGTTCTCTATAAGGTGACCCGGATCAACCGGCAGCTCTCCAGAGCTCCATATCTACGCCAGCTTCTGGAGCAGTTCTGACCTCCTCTGTGTCTGTCTGTCTCTCTCTTTCTGTCTGTCTCTCTCTCTCTCTCTCTCTCTGTCTCTGTCTCTCTCTCTCTCTCTCCCTCTCTCTCTCTGATCTGGTGCTATACGCTGCTCTGAAGCAGCTCAGTGTTCGTCTGTTTTAAACGGTGCCTCGTTTTTAACTCAGAGGGTCTCGTTTTGTCCCTTTTTTGTTTTGTTTTGTTTTGTTTTTTTCCCGAGCATGCTCAGTCGCTCAGTGGGACTGAAGAGGAGCAGATGAGGAAGGTTTCCCGTGTTGCCGTGGTGATTCATTAGCCTCCTAATCATTAGTTCTCATTGTTCGCTGCTATCAACTAAAAGAAGTGAGTCTGTCCTGATTTTGCTGGTTTCTGTGGGCGTCTGTGCTGTGGAGAACGTGCGATTACGGTGGGTCAGAGTGAGTCTCGAGAACCGAACCGCGCTGTAGCAGTTTATATAAAACGAGACGAGTTCTGAATCTGCGAGTGTTTTTTAGTGATCTGAACTAAAGCCCTGTGTAAATATGTCCTGTATAGTAACTGTCTGAAGTCCTGTGTCTGTCAGTGTTCGAGAAGAAAACGACTGTAATCTCTTACCGAAAGAAGAATGTTTGGGTTTCAGGGTTTCGTTTCTACACGCTGAAAGAGCCGCGAACCCGTCTGATTACATTACAGAGAGAAGCTGATTATCCTGTGCATTTTTTACAGATGTTTTTAAGCAGAACAGAACCCACCGTGTTCTCTACCAGTGTTAAAAATAAATAAATTAAAAAGAACGTCATTTAAACATTTCCAGAGCGCCACAGTGTGGATCTGTAAACTTGTACAAAGCGAGGAAAGTGTGTTTTTTCTTTTCTTTTTTTAATAATCTTTGGGTGGAGGCTTAAGATTGATATAATAAAACTTGATGTATTAAACGATTTAAATCTCTCGCTCTTTATTTTTGCTGTTTAAAGTTTTTTTGCACGCTCAGTATTAATGTCCGTTTGTAAAGGTGTGAATCCCCCGCATTTTAACTTTGATGTCCTGTATTTGTAGGAAAATCAAAGCAAATAGGAGTGGACCATAAAAACTGAAACCATAAAACCATCAAAATTTTTATATATATATTTAAATGTATGTATATATATGTGTATATATACACTCTCATCAGGCGTAACATTCTGACCACCTCCTTGTTTCTGCGCTCATTGTCCATTTTATCAGCTCCACTTACTATATAGGTGCACTTTGTAGTTCTACAGTTACAGACTGTAGTCCATCTGTTTCTCTGATACTTTGTTAGCCCCCTTTTACCCTGTTCTTCAGTGGTCAGGACCCCCATGGACCCTCACAGAGCAGGTACTATTTGGGTGGTGGATCATTCTCAGCACTGCAGTAACACTGACGTGGTGGTGGCGTGTTAGTGTGTGTTGTGCTGGTACGAGTGGATCAGACACAGCAGTGCTGCTGGAGTATACAGTGTTTGTGTGTGTGTATGTGTGTATATATATATATATATATATATATATATATATATATATATATATATAGTGTGTGTGTGTGTACATATAGGCATATACATGTATATATACATTATATAGTGTGTATATATATATATATGTGTATGTTTGTATGCGTATGTATGTGTATATTTGTATATGTATATATATATATATATATATATATATATATATATATATATATACACACACACAGTTTTCTCTAAATAAGTCAGAAGAAACAACACTTTCTAAATTATTTATTAATAATAAAAAAGCAATTAACTTTTAACAGGACTCACTATTACAGAAAGGTTTGCTGGAACTTCATTTGGCAGTTTAAAATTAAACGTCTCCAAGTTTCAGGTAAAGTGCAAAAGGCTTGAAAGTTCAGGCAGATCCAGACGGGACAGACGGGCGTAAACACAAACGCTTTAAAGCAGAAAAAGGGCTGCAGCAGGAAAACAACAGGAGACCAAAACAAATCACAGTCAGAGCTCAATAAACCATAAACACGTTCCGCACAGTGTCACTGAGAACTACAACGTGCTTTAACTGAGTGACGGGACATTTTACAGGAGACCTCCACCAATTTTAGCAGATCCAACTGGTTAAGACGTAAACAGAACTGTTCACAGTGGTGGTGATAGGAACCAGACGTCCTCCTCTAAAAGCTCCCTCACAGAAAGTTCCTACATGAAATGGTTATGAATTCACTGCCTGATGACTGAGACACTGTTTTATGATAGTTTGGAGAACTTAAACTCCATTCATGGTGGAGGGATACATGCAGGGCGCTGTGAGGCAAAATAGTCCCCAAAGAAAACTTATTATTTCAGATTTTCCACTATTTTCATCATCAACATTCCATATAAACTCAGAAGACTCGTGTAGGTTCACTGGTGGTTCTGGATAGTAAATAAAATGTCTATATCTGTGTTGTAGTCATGGCGACCCCTGGTTCCTATCACCACCACTGTAAAGCCATCTGAACCATTTCACACCAAACCACTCTGAATCTCTCTGATTACACCTCACACACTGAATTATGGGAGAATTTCCCTTTTAACGTACAGAATGTTCAGGTTTACCTTCATAGATCCCGTCACAAAATCTTCGATTAACATTTTGTGACTGTTTTTAAATAAACCTACATAGAAAAATCAATCATAGTGCCAAAAAAGTGCTCAGCAATTCCAAAAAACAAAGACTATAAAGAACCACAGCACACAGAGGGAACCACACATAAAACACCTGACTGCACTCAGTAAAACCCACCACAGTCTTTTAAAGCGACAGTTCAGTGAAATGTAAACTCCACCTTAAATGGTGCTTCAGGAGCCAGAATCTGTCACACCATTTAAGGTGGAACGGAAAATTTGAATAAGAAGCTAAATCAGAAGCCGACCTCACGAACGACTGAGGCGAGTGTGATGATTTAGACGTGCAGTTAGCACCATGCTAACTGGTGGGGTATAAACTTCCATTACTTGTTAGCCTCAAAACAACAGAAGCGAACTTCAGACACTGAACGTTGTCTGACTGACCACATTCCAGAGGGGAATTTGGTTTAACGCCAAACTATCGCTTGAATATTCACACCTGGATTAGAATCGGCTCAGCTGCCCAGCATGAAAAATAAACACTAACATTATTTATTCTTAATGTTTTCATTCTCTTTTTTCCCAGTTCAGTTCATTGATTGTGTTTGGCTGTTTATCTTTTTGCACCTTAAAAGTACCAGGATGACAAAGTGCTCGAACAGCTGCAGTACCGCTATATACTTGATATATAAAGTATATATCGTTAGAAAATGTGCGTATTTTTTCTCATTTTTACTCTGAAACCTCAAGCTGCCCCTTTGCACTAAAGTAAACACCTTGACAAACACAGAGATGAAAAGCTTTCAAGTTTTTTTTTTAAAACACTTCTGTTCAAAAGTTTGAAATCACTGAGCGAATTAACCAGTTTTATTATTTTATACTCAATAATTATTTACAATCTATATATTACCAAAGGGTATTTTATCATTTTTTTCAAAAATTCTGTAAAAAAATGAGTTATTCAATAATAATATACTATAATTATCCTGTTAAATGTCAAATTCTCTGTGTTGAGATTTGATCTCCAGTTTTGAAATATGATGAATTCTGGATATTAATGTAATTAGATCTTCACACGATGTTCTGCAGTCATTTTAGCATCTTATACAGCTCCGTTCATCATCCTGGCTCTTAATTTGTATTTAAAGCTTTTTGGTGTCCTGATTATCTGAAACATGCACGTCATTTTAAATCTATCAGCCACAAATTTGGTTTTATATTGTTGAAAGCGGACTCAGACTTTTGAACAGTGGTGTAAATGTTATTAACGCTTTTTCTCTTTCGTCTCCTGTAAAAGTTACTATTTCATAGACAACATAAAGCGACATTTTAGTGCTTGATATCAGTTTTTATCACTGCTGATTGTTTTTCTTTCATGCAATAAGCAAAAAAAAAGGGCTTGCAGGTGCAGTACCACTGAGGGAAGGCAGGGGGCAGCACTGTGCGAGGTCCATACGCATTTATACTGCAAGTTCAGGCTTATAGACGCAAGTCTTTGTGCTACCACTAGGTGGCAGGCATGTTTTGATAAGGGATGAATATCGGGATGAATTCTGTTTATATCACCAGCACAGTGGGTTAAACAGCCTTAGCAGATCGGATATCCGAGACCAACCTGTTCAAGTTCCGTGATCGGTTCCAGTATTGATTATTGAGACTGTATCAGAACGTCGTTCTTTAATCGTTCTTCTCCCGATCCAGCATCAATTTGCGCCTCGGCGAGACGTTCAGGACAGAGACGGAGTCGCCCACGGCGACAAGCCCAGCGGCGTCGGGGGCAGTGACTGAGGAAGCCAGAGCATTCTGGGAGCTGGACGAAGCGTCAGGAGGCGACGCACTGACTTTACTGGGCGAGTTAACGAGGCTCGTGTCGTCCATCTCGATCACCTCGAAGTCCGCGTCGTTCCACTGGTCAGCTTCCGATTCGCCGCCGCCGCCGTCCTCTTCCGGCTCCGCCTCCTCGTCGTCATTGGCGACAGAATGGAGCAGTGCCTGCCGGTCGCTCTCGTCTGCGTCCCCGCGTCCTCTGGCTCTCAGCTTTCTCACTGCAGCGCCCCCTCCTGGAACCAGACAGAACAAACTGAATGTAAATGAAGCTGGTAAAACAAATCTGAAAGTGCCGATTCAAGTGGAATATTAACATCAATTACAGTCAAATTAGTTATAATTATGCCTCAATATGATTCATGTTTTACATGTTTTACATGTTGTCTATGTTTTGTTTACAGCTGAAAAACAAAACACACTGTGATTCCAGGGCTCGATAAAGCAATTACAGCCATTACAATCTCCATAACCAATACAGCCATGTTCTATATCCAGATGTTTTCCTGCTATTTCTATGAAATGTTGCTTCAGCTGAATCATATTCGGTTTGGTTAGATTTACATTTTATATTCATCACAAAACCTTTATGAAAATGTACAGTGATGCTTTTTTAATAACATCTAGACAGAAAATTAATGTTGCTGATCAGCCACAGTAGATTTAGCACTGGAGCTACAAGGCTAATGTAGCTGACAAGTAGTACAACCTTACACCCCACCAGTTAGCATGAGGCTAACTGCATGTCTAAATCGCCGCTCTTCTCAAACCGTGTGGAGTGTTCAGTAACGGAAATGGATTAAAGAACAGCAGCAGAGCTAAAAACAGTAGCAGCATCTAGAAACTCACTGTCTGTACTTCAGTCCATGTTTACAGAGAACAGTGAGTCAAACAGAGTCAGAACCGCAGAATCAAGTCTGATAGAGACACTGAACTCCACACGCTTTGGATTGAATACATTTACTCAAAAAAATATCTGAATATCTGAAAAATATCTGAGAAAAATGCCTGAATATTTTGGCCAAAAAAGCAAAAAGACTGAACTGCACTACAGTGAAGTTCTTTAATGGAAATCTCATAAATTTCACTCAGTAATTTATTTGGTATCATTTGATAATAAACTGGTTCTGAGAGCTGTAAACTGATGCGCTGGTGAGATCCTGCTGGTGTGGGTTCACAGCTGTTTCTTCTCTAAATGGTGAACACTGAAGCGACATGCGAGCTAACAGCACCCCCTGCTGGAGAAACTTCACACTGCTAGTGTTCTAAAGCCACTCCCACTTGCTTTACATATTAAAATAAACAAGGTGTTTTCTGTCGCTACAGTGGAGCCGCTCTGGAATTCAGCTTTGCCTTTGTGAAACCATGAGATTTTATACTGTCATTATTTTACAACTTAAAATGAACTTAGTTCTCTTTCACAGCTTTATATGTGAAGCATCGTCTGCAGTTTTACATCGATTCAAAATACTGAGTAAGATGTCAGATTACATAAAATCCCTTTCGTTCTGTTTTCAGTTTTATTATTTGTCCTGAATTACGGTTTAGTTTTTTTTCCATCACTAAATCCAGTTAAACGATAAAGAAGCTCACCTGGTGACGCCAGTTTGTACATGACGGGGAAGAGGATGGAGGTGATGGTGGCCGTTACGAGAGTCAGATACATCAGCAGCGGCTGATCCCTCACGTGTCCCAACAGGAAACCCAGCGAAGCCGGCAGTACCATCTCCCCGAGAGCCGCGCCGACGACGAACGCCGCCGCGGACTTTGCGGTCACCTCCGTGTACTGCTCCACCCAGGAGATCCCGCTGGGGAAGGTGGTTGCCATGGAGGCGCCGTAAAGAGCCGTGCAGGACCACAGCGCCACCTTGTGGCGGCTGTATAAAACCAGCAGCACAGACGATACGGTGCAGCCGATCAGGCTGAGCATGATCATGGTGCCGGGGTACACGCAGGCCGCAAACACGATGGCTAAACCCCTGCATGCGGCGAACGACCCCCAGAAGAGCGAGTTCAGCCCCGCGGCATGCGGCTGCTCCATGCCCACGTAGTCCTTGGCGTAGTTGAAGATGAAGGAACCGTATGCCACCTCGGCGCCGACGTACCAGAAGAAAAAGATGGACAGCAGCACGATCAGCGCCTTGTGGTGTTTGGCGACCAGCTGCTTCCCCGAAGACGAAGACGCCTGGTTCGAAGAGGCGGAGCTTCGGGAGTAC